CTGAGGGGGAGGGAGTCTAGTCTTAGGGCTGGAGTGTACAGAAAATCACTTTCTCTCTAGCATTAGGTCTTCGGAACTCTCCTACAGAAATGTCATAAACTATGGTTAAATTAAATGATAGCTGTGTCATATACATGGAGAAAGGAGAAGAAATAGCCTGGCCTTGCCTTGCTCACCTTCGTATCATGTCCTACGCCTGCTTCCCACTGATGAAGCTTGGTCTCAAGCCATTTGTCAGGGCAGCCTGAGAGTTGTGGAGCCAGAAAGAAAACAGTGACTGGACAGAGAACCGAAAGCAAAAAAGGAAGTAGGCAGAGACACAGTAGTGTGAAAAAGGATCGTGAGGAGTGGTCTAGCCCAGCCGAAGTGAAGGTGTTCAGTATAGGCTCAGGGAGTTCTCCTCTCTTTGGGTGGTGCTGGATTCAGTGATAAGCCCATTTGCAGATTGGAAAGCACACTGGCAGCAGAGGAATGGTTGAAAGTGAGCCCCAGCATAAGACAGGAGAACAGTCAGGAAGCCAGGCCACATGGCCAGACAAGGTTTCCACAGACCTATTATGGTAAGGCAGTGGTGAGCTCACATTGCACAGAAATCAGTGGAATAGGACAGTCTTAGATTTGACCATAGTGATCTGCAGGGGAGGGAAGTGCCAGTAGGTGGCAGTGCTGAGGTCGAGAACTCATAACTTTCACTAATAACCCTGCAGAGCTCAATTTCTATACCTACATGTAACAAACTTTCACCTTTTTCTGTAAAGAGAGTGCTTTACAACTTTTCTTTGGTATGTCTGAATTGCCAACATCACTGCCTTTATGAAGTAAAATAAGGGTATCCTGAACACAAAAGCACTGTGATACCATGATATTGATCTGATAACCAAGACATACTAAGTGCCTACTGGGCAGGTAGCATATACAGCATGGACACATTGGATAAAGGATGATTCACAACCTGTGTAGGACAGAGCAAGATAACATGGAATTTAATCATACTTCCCAGAATAACATATGATGTGAAATCCTTGAATTGTTTACTTCTGGAATATTCCATTTAATATTTTGGGATTATATTTGTCTAAGCATACCTGAAAACATAGAATGTATAACTAGAGGGATTAGTGTAGCAGTAGATCAGTCTCACTGTTCTCCAGGATCGTAAACTCTACAAATTATGAGTTAGATATTCCCTGTGGTCATCTACTCTAGAGCTATAATACAGAGATCCACATTTCACTCCTTTATTTAGCACTTCAGATATCACCCTTTTCTTTCAGTGTCACATTTTCCATGGTTTGTATCAACACAGTGTAGAAACTGTCCTGTTATACATAAACTGGGTAAATGTTCCTGAATTTAAAATTTAAGATTTAAAGTTTTTGTTTATAGTTGTTTTTAGAAAAATTTCATTACAGAAGAAACATTCTACAGTATTCTAAAGTTTATGTACTACAGAATGCAGCTGTAGACAACTGGATTTCACAATATCCCTATCCAAAATTCTTGTAGTTCTGTTCATAAGCATCTCTGGCGAAGCTCCCACGATTTGTAAGACTTTCTATAAAACCACTAATTGAATTGAAACCCTTGTTAGTTAATAGAGGTCAAAGTATTAGTTCTAAATAATGCAACTTGGTATGTTACTCAGAAATTCCAGGAAAGGCTTTTTTTTTTTTCCGTGATCTTCAGTTTCATTCTGAGCAGTACACAACAATCACATTGTTCAGCTCCTGAGCAAAATGGTAAATCACTAGTTTTTTTTAAAAAAAGCATGTTGCCCAGATTAGAAACTCAGGCTTTCTGGATATATTTTACAGAATCTAAATCTTTACTCAAACTTAAGTTTTAAATAAGTACTTAGTAATGTTATAAAAATTGAAACATCTTCATTTTGGGAAAAAATAGTGCTATGCAGTGACTTGTTACCTTGGTATCACTTTACATCTGTAGATGCAACTGAATGCAGGCAGAGCCAGGGGAAGTGGCACACACCTGTAATTCAAGCACTTGGGAGGCTGAGGCAGGGAAGATCAGCATGAGTTCAAAACCAGCCTTTAAGGTACATAGTGAGTTCAAGCACAGTCTGAACTACAGAGCAAGATCCTGTCTCAAAAAACCAAAAGTGAAGAAAAAACAAAAAAACTGGATTCAGGCAGGATACTGACAGAATCTCATACTGAGATGGACAATCACACAGTTCCTGTGCAGTTTTGTTCTGAGAGCAGCCATATAAAACTAGTATATTACATGCTTTGGTAATACAGTTTGGTTATGATGCCGAAAGCTGTATATCACCACCGAATAAGACATCTTATTCATTCAAGGAGTTTCAAGAAGGAATTTCCAGAGAAGCTGATGTTTGCCATTGGCCTCAAAAAATGATTAGGTATTTGATTAGGAGTATGGATAGTTTTCTAAGGCCATTTCCCCCTTACTCTCTACTACTTCATTACATTGGGCTATCCTTCTAGTAAGCAGTCACTTCAGATTGTTAAGGACTTTTCTAATTTAGCTCTGAAAGTTCCCATGTCATAGAAAGCTCATTTCTGGCTGGGCTAGACAGCTGGTCAACCTAACTTATTGCCTGCCAGTCATAATTTATGTTCCTAACTACTCTGTCCCTTTGCTTGTGTCAGTCTCTTATCACTGTGTGGATTTCATTGTGAGGCCTGTACTAATCTTGCCCACAACAGAGGCTCATGAATGTTGGTTGATAGAGACATAAATGTTAATACCTTTTTAGAGATAACACTGAAGCAGATTACTGAAATAATTTCCTGAAGATCATGTGACAGTACTGTTTAAAATTTAGGTCTAGCTCTAGATCATCTATGGATCATACCCAAACTACCTAACAAATATGCTTCCCAGCATGCCTTGAACCTTAAGGGTCAGTTTAACACAGGTGTCCTTGTTGAGAATAAAAGTGCTTCTAGTGCCCTCTAGTGGTGGTGCTAATAATTGTCCAGCCTGTTACAAGATAGGACTGTGCATTTTTTCCTTGTTTCCAGTACAAATCATAGCAAGATTACTACTACTTAATATTCAGTCAGCCAGTTCCTATAAGCTGGACTTGAATATTTTATTCAGCTTCTGATTCATTTCAGGGCTCTGAGGCCCTGGAACAACCACAGTCCCTCCCTCAGTCAGAGAAGACATACAGGTGATAATTCAGTATTAGGCTTATTTTGGAACTGGTTACAGTTCATCCAATCTCAGTGTGTTGAATCAAGACTGCTTAAGTGGCACATTCACTTGCAACCCATGGTCCTTTAGGCCCCTCACTTCCCCATTAGAACATTAAACTAGAAGGTATGCAATAGGCCATCAATCTTGTAATTGATGGATTGCCTGACAATCTAAGTCAGTGTACCTTTTGGCTTGGTCTCAGATGGAGTCAACCCTCACCCTTTTACCCTTAGCTCTGGGGATAACCCAGAGGCCAACAAAGAATTTATCAAACAGGTCCACTACAGGAGCAAATGAGACCCAGTTCTGTTTGCCCAGTGTCAAATTCTGCTTTCGAGAAGGGGTAAGCTAAATGGAGATCCAACCTGAAGGTCTTTGTACAGCTTTGTTCTCCTTCTCTACTGCCCTTCAGTTGCCTTGGAGGAAATGGCTTTGACAGTAATCCAAGGACAGCTGGGATTTAATGTTAGGGTGATGAGGTGCTGGAATTGAAGTCAGATGCTTTGGGTACAGATCTCAGCTGTGTTTGTCTCTGTGCTCATTAGTTTAATGCAGTGGGGAACAACACAGGTTTTAGAGTGGCAGCTGCAGAGCCCAGACAATGACCTAACCTACCCAAGTGTCCAAGTGATTATCTATAATGTGAAAATCATTCTGCTGACCTCCTATGTTTGCATGAGTACTCAGGTGCATGATGCTGTTTTTTAAAGACTTTAGTGTAGGGCCCAGACACACAGCAAGCACCAACCAATCATCATTTATTTAGTCATTAATCATTTATTGAGAGTGGGAAGACTGTGACATTTAGGCTAGTTCATGAGGGTCAGCAGGTCTTGACCTCATGGGAAAGTTGAAAGGTAGCAGCATTTTCAATTTGAGGGAAAGAGTATGGCATGGGTACATGTGGTGGGGGAGAGCATGGATACAGACATGGCAGGCTGAACAGGTGGAAGGCCAGGGCATAAACACAGGTCTGAGGAAGGAAGGCACAGACAAGTTACAAGGGTAGAAGGGAGTGGACACAGGTCTGGGGGAGAAAGGCATGAACACGGACACATGCCTGTCATTTTCCATGCAACAAGGAAGGTATATTATTGGCTTAATTTGAATTCTTGGGTCTGAACTCGTAATACTCGAAAGCTGTCTTCACTTCTCTCCACTCTCTGGCCTGTTACCATCTGTTGACAAAGTTCCTTGCTAACTGTTTTCTTCACAAAGCCTGCCCCCAGGCTTCCTGCCTGTGACCCTGGTCACTCTTCTTTCATTCCTGTTTCTTGATACTTTACAGCCCTCCTTAACTGGGAAGCAGAGGAGAGCTCCTCTCTACATCTCCACACACGCTTGTTCCAGTGTAAACCAAGCTCCCTCTGCTTACTGACTGTTGTTCTGAACACGGCTCCATTTCACTGTGACACAGCTGAGGTAGTTACTGAGGAGTTTTCTTCTGTTGTGTGATAAGAGATTCCTCCCAGTTCACAAAAAGCCTTGAATAATGACATTTTCATTCCAGCGGTTGTCCACAGCTTACGTCTGCAGGTTTAACAAATTCAAAGATTCACCATCATATTGATCCAGAATTCCTCCTTTTTTAAAGGGTCATGTATTTGCCTTCTTACCTTGAATGTATTATGAAATGAACTGATGAAAACCGTCAGTTTAAAAGTAGTTATTAATGTGATCAGCCCAGCCATGGGGTTTACCTTTGTTTTGTTTTTTTAATAGTGGCAACTGTTAAGCAAAAACAATTAGCCCTGGACTGTAGAGGCTTTTCTGTGGGCAAAACGGCTAAGTGCTCGCTTTGTTTTCTGCTGCAGGCAGTGGCCACCTCGGAGCCCGATGCGTGGAGCAGGGATGGAAACCAGGCTGGTGTTTTGGACGCTCTGGAGTGGGGGCCTGCGGACACAGGTGTCCACGTAGGTCTGAGCCACGCTGCCCTGGGCTCCCAGAACATGACCACGACCCAGAACGGCCATGGGCCAGCTACTGCAGCAGCCTGTTCGAGCTCCGACCTGAAGGATCCCAAGATGGTGACCTCAGCGGCGTACCGGAATGGAGGTTACAGAAGCGACCCCGAAGCTCCGGAGCCCCGGCTCAGCCCCTCCAAGCTCGTGCGCCTCTTCTCCGTGAGCCGCAAGCGGGCCGGGGCTGGGACTGGGGCGGGCGCGGACACCGAGAGGCCGCGCCCCGTGGTGCTCGCGGGGAACTCCTCCACGTGGAACGCCCTGGCCTCCTTCCGCAAGATGGGCTCTTTCAAAAAGCTCAAGTCCTCCATCCTTCAAGGCATTCAGAGCCGAGAGGCGTCCGAGGCCTCCAAGGAGGGCGCGTGGGACGGCGCCCTGGGCACTGCCCTGCCCAACGGCGCGGCGGCTGCAGACCCCGACGCCCCGCGGGCCGCAGACAGCGCCTCCGAGGGCTCGGACCCCGACGACGACGCCTTCCAGCGGAGCACGCACCGCTCCCGCAGCATCCGCAGGGCCTACGGCCTGGGCCGCATCAGCCTGCTGGACCCCGACAGGCGCCTGGCACCGCCGCCGCCGCCGAGCCCCGCCGTGCCGCCGGCCGCCGCCCCGCAGGCGCCCGCGCCGGGCCGCCGGAGCCGCAGCAGCGACAGCCTGGGCCTGCGGAGCAGGGGCTCCTTCAAGCGCAAGTCCACCTCCAACCTGGCCGAGCTGCGCGCCGCCTGCGAGAGGCCGGGGCCGGCGCCGCGGCGCACGCTGAGCAGCTCCTCGGCCGACTCGGAGCGGCTGGGCGGCGCGGAGCCGAGGGCGCGGCGCTGGAGGAGCCCGCTGCGGGCCAAGGACCTCGACCGGGTGTGGAAGCTGCTGAGCAACGTGGCGGACGCGGCCTGGAGGCGCGAGGGCCCCAAGGCCGGCGCGGGCCCCGGCGAGGCAGCGCCCTCGGGCGGCGAGGCGGGCCCGCGGCTCGGGCAGCGCAGCCAGCTGCACGACGACTACTCCCGCCGCGCGTCCAGCAGCTGCGAGCCCGACCGCAGGCGCCCGGGGCGCGGCGTGGACGCCGACACCGCCGTGTACCCCCTGGAGGCCGTGGAGCCCTGGGCCGGCGGCCGGTGGAGCTCTGGTTCCGGGGCGCCCCCCACCCCGCCCAGGCCCACCACGCCCAAGCCGCAGAGCCCGCAGAGCCCGGGGACGATGGGCGGCGGGTGTCCGGGCAGCCTCAGCGCGCTGTCCCTGGCCTCGGTGGAAAGCGGCGGAAGGGAGCCGGGGCCCGGGTCGCTGCAGGACTCGGGGCAGAGCACGCGCGCGGAGGACAGCAGCGACGAAGGCAGCCACCCTCAGCCGGGCCCCAGCGGGGCGGCCAGCCCGGAGGAGGAGGAGATCGAGGACCAGGAGGAGGAGGAGGTGAGGACCCAGGCGGGCCCCTGCTACGCGCCAGATTCCAGGGCCCTGGGGGACCCTATGTGGGTCTTAGAGGTGCTCACATTTTCATTTTTGAAAGTTTTTATTACCCATATCTTCTTCATATTTTGTTTCCAATCAAGCCCTTTTAAATGAAATCATTGGTATCAAGAGACCACTACAGGACCTGAGTATGTTTTAGTTCCTAGGAATGAATTAGAAATGTTCAGCTATGTGCCTGTCAACCTCGAATGATGCCTCTATATTAGATTTTTATGCTAATTATCACACTTATTTTTAGAGTCAATCTCTAAAGCATCTCATGAATTGGATCAGCTAATAACTGCCAAAGCCAGAAGAGCAGCATTCTTTTCACATTCCGCCAAGCATCCAGACAGCTTTGCATTACTGTATAATTTTCACTTTATGAACATATTTAATAATATTATCTTACATAGGTGAAAATGGGGAGACGCATGCATGTATATGTATTGCAAATTAGTCTCCACATAAGTTACAGATGTGACTGTTTTACAGGTGTGAATCCGTGCTCCATGTATAAAATAATCCCCTTCCCACCCGGCACCTGCAGATAAGTGACTGCTCTCCTCGATTTGCAATTCAGAAGCCGGGGCAGCTTGTGAACTGTCTCTTTGCCAGTCAGAGATATTTAGGCAGTAGGACTTCCCAGAAAGACCTAGGAAGTAGAAGTTTTGCAGAGTACTTTTCGGGAGATCAAATCAAAGGATTATGTTCAGGGTCCCTAGTTCAGAGGACCGAGAGCCAGCCAGTCCTTTGGAACTGTCCAGTTCTGGTCACCATGAACTCTTTTGCATGTTTTGAGTAGCTCTTATGGCTGAGTTGTCAGATAGAACTAGATGCACACCTTGAGAATGAGTTCCGATTCTGTGGGCTCTGGGTTTTTCCCTTGGCCCAAACCTTCGCTTAGTCCCGGGTATATTCAGCTTTTTACAAATACCTGGGTCAAGGTTTGTGATGTAGAGAGAAGTTTATTTTGGCTCACGGTTCTGGGGGCCCATGTCCAAGGTTGGGTGCCCCATCAGTGAGGGCCTCTGGCAAGGGTGGCAGATATCGGAGTGGGCATTCATTTTTCCAGCCAGGAAGCACAGGGTGAGCTGGGTCCCATGGTCCTTGTAGAGCATCAACCATGATAACCTAGACTCCCATCTTAAAGATCCAGGTATGGTGGTGCCCACCTGTAACCCCAATACTCCAGAGGCTGAGGCAGGAGGATCGAAATGAATTTATGGCCAGCCCAATCCTGAATTGCATAACAATATCCTGTCTAGAAAAACCAGTGAATGAATAATAAAGGTCCAGATAGCACTACCCTGGGGACCAAGTTTAAGTCTAGAGGTTTCTTTATGTGAAAGATGGGATCATACCTTAATTAATATAATTTGTTTTAAAATTTTTAAAAATATTTTATTCCTGAGTGCATGTTGAGTGGTTATATGCAAAAAATAGTGTGTAACTTTACTTGCCAGTAGGACACTGACCATTCTGTGTCTAATTTTGTGTGTACATTTGCTGCTCTTAGCTATGTATTATTTAATGCACAGCTTACAGAGGGTAGAAATAGAAACAGCATTGGTATTGCAGTTCAGGGTATTTAATTTTCACACGTGTTAATAATTCGCCACAGTGTGTTCATCACAGTTTAAGTTGCATTCATTTCCTCCAAGCTCTAATGTGTTATGTCAAGCTTCCTTTTGCCTTTTCAATGAAAATATCAGAAATAGAAAGAAATAGAGGACAGGGAGATAGCTCAGTGGCAGAGCACTTTCCTAGCATTGTGAGGTCCTGGGTGGGATCATGGGGATGGAGGATGGTGGTTTTATACCCCACTTGCATTTGTTTGTTTGAGACAAGAGTCTTGCTATGTAGTTAAGGCTAGCCTTGATCTCGAGGCAGTCCTGCCTCAGCCTCCCAGTGCTGGGATTACAGGCGTGTACTACCACAGCTGGCTTACTCAGTTTGCATTTTATATAGTGGGAATTTTAATGGTACTCACAAAGAAGGGCTTTTTAAATGTAACCTGAAGCCTTCCCTGTCATTTTGACATTGAGAAACCAAATACAAATGAAACAGAACACCTTGCAAAATACAAGAATTTCAACCATTGTGAATTTAAAGGCAGTTTTTATCTGTTTTATGCATGACACAAAGTTATACTTTAGTTTTCACCATATTTTAGCATACATTGTATTATTCATTATTTAGTTTGTTGCCAGTATGGTTATACTTGCAAGTTTAAATTTAAGCTTTGTTTCTTCTGATAGAATGAAAAGATTAAAATCCATATGTACTATGGTATTATTTAAAATAGCGGGAGGAATAGTTTTTATTTACAGTCATTTACTTATACCTCGCTAGGAATGATGTCATCTTCAGAAAATTGTAAGCGTTTCAACAAAATTGTGTTGCTGTCATGCTGTCAGGGAACTGCCTTGTTCCTTTCACTTATAAAGTACAATCTACTCCTGCCACCTAGGGGTCAGCTTGGGTCTAAGAACCGAGATTGTTGAATAGGTCCCTAAGATTGTTCCCTGATTGATAGAGTTTGAGAAATGGGTCTTAAATTAGCAGTAGAGCCAGACATGGTGGCACATACTTGTAATCCCAGTACTTGGGAGGCTGAGGCAGGCAGATCCCTGCAAGTCAGAGGCCAGCTTGGGCTACATAGTGAGTTCAAGGCCATCCTGAACTACGTTACGAGACCCTGTCTCAGGAGAAAAAGAAAAAAGTATGCCTACCCTGAGCAAACTGGGAAAACTTGAGTTTCTCTTGGCCTTGGTTCTCCTCGGGTCCAAAAGTGGGATCCATCTTTGCCCTGCAGAGTCATAAGATTGTGTGTGTTAAACGCTTAACCTTGCGTTTTAACACTGGTGCCTCTGTGGTTTTCACTGTTCCTTCAGGTAGACTCACCTGACTTTTCTTGTTTGTTGTTGTTTGCTTGTTTGTGTTTTTGAGACAGTCCTGCTTTATGGTTCAGGTTGGCCTTGAATTCACTGTGTGTCCTGAACTCGCAGTGATCCTTCTGTCTCAGCCTCCCAAGTGCTGGGGTTACAGGTGTGCACCACCACACCTGAATGACCTGAGTGATGGAGGGTTAAAGACTGGTTTTATTCCTCAGAACTTTAAAAAAAAAATAAATACCATACACACATAATGCTGTGTTACCATTTTACAAGGGATTGAAAAATGCCGAATAACTAGCCTGGTGCTATGTGAATTTTCTTTTTTTAATGCGTGCGCGTGTAAAGTTTCAGCATATCCTAGCATTGATACATTCATTCAATAGTGCATCAAACTAAATTTGTTGAGCTTCTACCAAGTGGAAGAGACCAGTTAGGAGCAGCTTGAGAAAGAATTTGTGTTAGCAACAAAATCGCACAGGAGCCCAGACATATGAATCATAGCAGAACTGCACTGAATGGGACAAATCCCAGGAAGGAGGTAAAACAAAATCCTGTGAGCTTCAGCAGAGCTGCGGTTCTCACCAGCTGTACCAAGATGGTATCATTCAATGAAGGCTTCGCAAGGGTGCAAAGTTAGTTCCAAGAAGTGGGATTTCCGCAGAGAGCTACAAAGAAGACAGCATTTCAGGCAGATGCAGTAACTGGGACGGTATACAAAGACAGGGAACAAGCAACCAGCATTTCATCTTATTTTAAAAAATTTTCACAGCGAAAGAAATCACCAACAGAGTGAAAAGACAACCCAGAGAGTGGGAGAAAATTTTTTCCAGCTGTTTCTTCAAGCACCAATATCTAGAACATGCAAACAATTGAAAAAAAGCAGCCCCTCCCCAAATTCAAAGACCCAATCCAAAAATGCACATCTGAGATGAACACACACTCCTCAGATGAAGAAGTAGAAACAGCAAATAAATATGTGAAAAAATGTTCAACATCACTGGTTATTCAAGAGATGCAAATTAAAACAACGCTGAGATTCCATCTCACCAGAAAGATGGCTGCCTTCAAGAAGACAACCATAGCAAATGCTGGCAGCACTTACGGATGAAGAGAAGCCCCTCTCCACTGTTGGTGGGATGTAGACTGGTGCCACTACTACGGAATTCAGTGTGGTGATTCCTGAGAAACCAGGACTAAAGGGCCAGGTGTGGGGGTGCACATTTGTAATCCTAGCATTTGGGAGGCTGAGGAAGGAGGATCATTGCAAGTTCAAGGCTAGCCTGGACTACATAGTGAGACTTTGTCTCAGGAAAAGAAAGAAAGAAACCAACAAACAAACTAGGACTAGAGGTCCCATTTGACCCAACTATTCCCCTTCTGGGTATCTTCCCAAAAGAATTACCTATATCACAAAAATTATGTGTGCACCCATGTTTATAGCAGCACAATTTGTAATAGTTAAATCTTGGAAACAACCCAGATGCCCATCAACTGACAAATGGATAAAAGAAAGATGTGATCTTTTCATGCAGTGGTGTACTACTGTGCCATAAAGAAGGATAAACTTTGAAATATTTCTAGTTAAACAGACACATCTTGAAAACAAACTCTTAAGGGAAATAGGTCAGACACACATGTGTAAATATTGCATTGTTTTTTCTGGTATGAGAAACTGAAAGTATAAATAAGAACCAAAATGTATAATAGGTATTGTGAAGTAGAAAGAAATTATTCTAAAGGAAAGGGGAACTAGGGAGGGAGGAGGGAGAAAGGAAAAAGGGAAAAGAAAAAAATGAGAATAAAAGGATAAAATGGAAACAAAGCTTTGTAAATGAGAAGAAGAGAGGTTAAAGGGAAGGGAGGGGAACGGGGAAAAATATTCTACCAATTTGTACAGGTAGAAATTCCCCACGATGAATGTGATCAACGTGTATATCTAAATTGTACCAATAAACTTAATAATAAAATAAAGGCAGAGAACAGGAACAATTGCAGTTTGGTTTGATGTAGTGGAATAATCCAAGTTAAGATATTTTTAAGTCTAGGTTGCAAACACCAGAA